ATAAATTGCATCAATTAACCACTAGTCCCCTTTCAAACAACTTGCCAGTACCATGACAAAGAAACCAGTGTCTTCGGTGGTGGAAATTTGATTTATGTTTTGTATAATAATTACACGGATGCTTTTGCTGAACATAGTGTGCATTGTGGATACATCTTCCACCATTAAAAAAGTCTAAGATGTTTTATTGTTTGTGGTAGTATGACTGTATGGTTTCTAGAAAAGAAATGTGTTTCGCGAGCTCGTCTTCTTTCAGTAAGAATAGATTATTTGATACTTGTCATTATTATTAAGTACACATGACAAGTTTTGAAATATACATTGAATTTGCATCTAAGAAGTCTCGTTAAATATGACTTGAATACAAAATGTATATTTTTTATTTATTATTAATTAATATTTTATTAAATGCAAACATTGTGTTAAAACTCACATACTAGATTTTCACAATTCCGACTTTTATAATTAGATCACTAGTAGATTTGTGAAGGCCTTACCTTCATTCTCAAATTGGAACATTGATCAATGGACATTTGCAAAATCACTGGACTATGCTCATGATACCATTAGACCTATTGTGTCTGTAATTGTCATATATATATATTTGGCAGGATAGAATGTCATATAGTAATTTCCTCTGATTCTTATATTTTGTTGTCGAGGGGTGGAGGCTTGGAGCAACTGTCATACTCTCCTACTCCTTCAGGCAGGAGTCTTGCACTAGAAGTCCATTTTTTCCCCCTTCTTTTCTCAATTCATTTTGGGATGCAAATAGAAGGGAAAATAAAGCTCAACACTAGTTGGCACTCGTTATGCCATATTTCTCATCCTTAAAATCTTCCTCCAACTCAGGCCCATGTTGAAATGGGGCGTTGAAAACTGCTGTTCCTCAACCTAAAAGTAGTCCTTGATTAGCTCTTGAATTTCATATACTGCTGTTTTTAGCCCATGTCCTCATGGGTCCTGAATATCCAAAAATCTGGTTTTGCTACTGTTTAACCGGTGTATTGGTCCCTAATGGGAGGCCCTACCAAGTCCAATAACAAAACCAATAAACAAAATGAAAAGAAAATTTTTTTAACCACCAGAAATTAACATCACTACTGTTTTTGTTAATTATGATTAATATCTGCAGATAACACATCAAATTCCATAGGGAGGCTCATAAAATGTATTCCTTTTGCCTGTTTCTGTTCTGCGTCTGACATTGATCAACTCTATTAGGAGACTCAATGTTTCCATGATATTGGTAGTGGTGCCAGGAAGATTTTAAAGACGGTCATTGCTTCATTTATTTCCAACATCAAATTAATGCTTCATTGCCACTACTAAAAAAAACTAAATAAGTGATAAAAAAAGAAAAAATTAAGACATGTTGTTGTTAAAAATATTAAAATATCAAATAATAATCACATGATATCTACATTATACTTTACTTATTTAATAATAGTAATTGGATATTTTAACATTCTTGATTTTCCCTTTTCTCATAACTTATCTATTATTTTTTAACAAAATAAAGTACTAAGGTTTTTCTAAGTAAAATACTACATGCCAAGTCAAAGTTGGTTATTATTATTATTATTATTATTATTATTATTATTATATCTTAGTTTGTAAGCATGTATACTCTTTGTGGATGTTTTTAGTGACAAATTTGTTTATTATCATTCAATATATGCATATCTATAATCAATTTTTAAAATCAATCATAATTATAATGAGTTACAATGATGATTTTAAAATTCATCAAAAATTTTTATCACTAAAACTTCTTTTGCTTGTAGTGATACATGGTGTTTTTTTGCTGGAAAACTTTACTTCTATGTTATTATCTTTAAGTCATCATTATCCTCCGGTCCTAAACCCAAAAAGAACTTCACTGAATGGTCCAAACCCTGCTCGTGAATAGAACAAATGTTGAAATCAGATTCAACATTCTGCTTAAAATGGTGTAGAGGATCATGTGATGTAGAGTCGAAGTCAATGACTGCAATCCGGGCCGGTATCTTAGCAAGATGGGTTTATTTGTTATGAAAATTTTTGGGCCAGATTATCTCCTCCCAAAAGGCCAAAACAAATATCTCAAATTCTCCAATCTCCAGTTTGGACATGACAAAGAAAAAGCCTACAAACATAAACAGTTTTCTTGCATAGCCCATCATGAGATGCGCGATCAAATAGACAAGCAGAGCAATCCTTTTTGCCCTCTTTCCACTGGAGGCTGGAGCGGTGGAGGTAAACACAACATGAGGAAGAAGAGTCCTCAATCAACAGTATCAGCTTCACAGGCATTCTTCACCCATCTCTCCTGCGGATTAGCCTTGGCAGCCGGATTCTGGGTTTCCCACAATGTCTACTCCATCAATCTCGTCTCCCATCCCGACCACACCCTCTTTCTGATCTGGGTACTTCTCGGTTCTCTTCTACAACTCAACCTTGAATGCGACTTCAGTTTTTCCTCTTTTTTTTTTTTTCTTTAATTTGTTGATTTTCCTGTTTGCATTTAGGTTATTCAGTGCCCACTTGTGGTCCTTTTTTACAGCTGCTTTCGAAAGAACCCTGAGAAATGCTTGGTTAGTGAAATCTCCACATTGATCTTTCTTGGTCGGATTGTTTTCATTTGCTTGATTTTTTTTTTCCTTTTTGTGAGCCGAAATTGTTTTATGTGATTTTTTTACAGTATTTGAAAGCTGTAGCCCGAGGCCTTCTGGGACTTCCTCTTGGTTAGTATGAATTTCTCTCTTTGTTCAAGTATTGTTTATTTGATATATACTGAACTTGTATATCTTTGCATATTGTAGGAGCTCTACTGAATGCTCTTGGAGCATTGGCTTTGGGGGCACCTGTTGGCATCCAGTACGTAATATAGGGTAATTCTTGTTTTAGCATAATTCTGAAAACATATATCCCACAATTGAGATTAGAATGGTCTGAATTTACACCCTTTTGTTCCCATGATTGAAGTTTGTTAAATCAGTAATCACAATCAAATAGTTGAATTCCCCGGAAGTCTTCCCCTAAAACTATATAGCCCTTTGTTTTATATTTGTTTTCAGTTGATAAATGAAAGGAGACGCTTTGTGACTTGGTTAGGTCATTTAGTTCCAAAGATTGTATCTGGTTCCATGATCTCAACTGTGACCAGTGTTTTCAGAATAATGAAAACAGAGTAGTACCTAAATGATGTTTGGTGATTGTAATATTATCACAAGTCATTTTTCCTGCTGTCCATGGTAAAAAATTTAATTATTGAATGCATTGATGTTGCTTGTTGCACCTTTCTTTCTGGGTACAGGTACTTAAAAAGGACAATTAACTGGTCTCTTATGATGTCTTTATTCACTGTAAGTATTCTGTTCCCTATTTGCTGCTTAGCGCCTACTTTTGGTCTAGCTGAATGTCCATACCAGATTGGAAATACTCATTGTTTTACCTTCTTCTTCTTCCTTCCTTTCTTTTTTTTTTTTTTTGTAATACTCTTTGTTAATTTGCAACATAATTTGTATTGGTATTTGTCTATTATTGCAAATTATTTTTTTTGGCGGAAATACAACAATGTGATTAGTTAAATTCTGAATTTTTGAAGTATATTTTGTTCTACTACTGTCATCCAGATGTGGACTTTCAACCTTCTTAGCTAGTATTTCTACTAGGACCAGTTACTGAATATAAGTACTGACATCTCCATGCATTTTGTTGTGAAGCCTTCCCTTTCCCCCAAGTGATGAATTTGTGACTTAAATTTGCAAGCTTTTGCAGGTTGTGCCTGCAACTTCTGTTTATGGTTCATCATGGACAGACTGGCATCGCATATTTGCACAGACAAAGTAAGTTTGTGAATTTCTTGGTGGTTTTAGTAACATTGTTCTTGTCTTTCATGATTAGTTTTTATTTTTTCACAGAGAGAGAGAGAGAGATCACTTTTGAACCATTTAGCATTTTGTATAGGATGAACCATTGTGGCAGAACATTTTAGAGCTGAAAATTTGGGCTTTAAGTTTTCAGTTGAAAGCTGAACTATAGCATTTTGTGTAGGTTGCTCCATTGTGGTTGAACATTTCAAGGATGATATTTGGGTTTTAAGCTTTCAGCTGAAAGTTGAATGATGACTGAAACTTACCTAAGACATGGCTTTGGAATCAATTAGGATAGATTCATCAAAGGGAAAAGAGACAAACTTGTGCTAATATTTGTATTAAGTCATGGTTATCTGCAACATAAATGGGGGCTGCATGTGACCCCCATTATGAGGCTGGAGATGTCTACAAGACATATATTATTCTATTGGGAAGGTTGAGATAATGTCCATTAAACTTCAAACCATGCTTTATTTGCTATATAATGTAAAACTATATGCACATTTTGATACAATGCTTATTTGTGCTGAGATGGGTATTTGAATCGATCAACAGACCAAATGGAGCTTTGGACTATATGGTTTGTCTACCAGCACATGGAGCTCTAATTGGTGCTTGGTTTGGTGCCTGGCCAATGCCACTTGACTGGGAAAGACCTTGGCAGGTATTTCTACTCTCTTAATTTTTCTAAGATCATAAGGTTGGGTTAAATTTTGAACATCAACTGAAGACATGACGGTGATACGACTCAAATAAAACACAACAAACTACTGCCTACTGGCAATTGCTACTTCTTAACGTATTGTATTTGCACATTCCAGTAACAATGGACGTTTTCCATCATGTGCTCATTTAGTTGGACAGATCATTCTTAGTAACTATCATCTTCGTTTGTAGGAGTGGCCTGTCTGTGTGTCTTATGGAGCAATGGTTGGCTATGCGGTTGGAATGGTGGGATCCTTTGCTCTTGTGCTTGCTCAAGGCAAGCAAAAGTACAGAAAAGCAGAGTAGAAGATTTATTGGCACCAGCCGATGGAAAGTTACAGATTTTGGGAGTTCTGTATTAGCCATCCATATGCAAAACTGAGTTCATTTCCATCTCTCTTTCAACTAAGGAATCAATGTTGCCTTTTATTTAACCAAATGCTATTTCTTCCGTAAACCAATTCGGTCTGCTACTGAGCCAGATTTTGTATTTTCTAACTCTTTTGACTATTTGTAGGAGGTGGATAAGAAGAACAAATGTAATGTGGAAGAATTTTTTTTTTTTTAATCTTGTGAAATGAGTGTAATCTTATGCATTAATTTAATTTACAAGTATGTTCATCCCATACATCGTTTTTCCCGGTGCCTTTCTGGTTTGGTGGTAATATTCTTCCTCTTTAGGCCAAGCTAACCTCTGGGGTGTTTGATTAGGGGAAACTCTTTTAAATTTATTTTTTGGTTATTTACATATTTTTACATATAATATTACAATAAAAAGAGAATAAAAGTGGTATTTTGAGTATTTATATTTTTAATGTAATTTTCAATTTATAAAGTTTTCTTTTTTACTTATTTTGAAAAAAAAAATCTTAAAACTTCTCTTATATTGAGTTCATTTTAGAATTTTACCTATTAATTCTTTTTATATCAATTTCTTACCAAATACAATAAAGTTAATAACTCAATAAAATTTTATTATGAAACTTAACAACTTTTTGTGCAAAATTTTTCAATTTTTCATACAACACATTTTTTAATAATTTTTTAATAAAAACTTTAATAATAAAGTGATATTCTAACCAAACAAACTCCAAAATCATGTTTAATAAAAAAAATAAGTATTCTTTAATCAACCTAATGTAAAATTAAGAAATTTATATAACCTAGTAAGTTTTGAATAGGACTAAGAGATAAGAGTGGAGTGGTTATTTCTCCTACCTACTTTTTCTCAAATCTATATATATATATATATATTTTGAATATGATTACAATCGACGAGGGGGTAAAGAGATATAAAAAAAGAAATTCATGGGTTCGAAACTGCAATCAACGGAGATGGTAGTACTAACTCAGGTTAATACAGTGACTGCTGAAGGACAATATCAAGCTAGTGGCAGTGCTGTTCCAAAATAAACATTAGGTACAAAATCATCCAATGTTAGAAAAAAGGAATTAAAGAATAAAGTCCGTACCGTATTTTTAACCAAATTTTTTTATTACAAACGTTGTCGTTTTACCATTGGTTTGGTTAGGTTCATCCTCCACTCGCCACGTGTAGCAGTTCCCAGAATTTCAACGTGGGCCCCAGACCGAACCCTTTAAAAACTCTAAAGAGCCCTAAGCGCCAAAAACACAAAAAGTGCTCTCACTTCCCCCTCTCCTCTTCAGACTTAACTGGTAAGGTTTTCTCCTCTCTCTCTCTCTCTCCCCCACTTCTCTACTTTTGCTTGAATTCCATATCTCTGTTCATCCCATCGAACTCTTTCGATTCTTGATTTCGTTTTATCATTTCCTTAGAATCGGTCGAATAGAGCACTGTTTCACTTTCTCAGTAAGATGCTATTTCCCATTTTTGTTACTATATAATTCATTCATCCTCGATTTAATCCTTGTTTCGTGTTCAGATCGATCAGCTGTTTTCGATTCATCTGTTTATCTATTTCTATAATTCTCGATCGTTTTTCTGTACGAATCCGAGGCGTGGTTTTGGATGATACCGAGTTTGGCCTCTGGATTAGTCTTTCTTTATGGGTTTTGTAGTGTTTGTTGGGATGGGGTTTTTATCGTTTCAAGCTTCGTTTCTGTGATTTTAGGGTTTCAATTGTTAGGAAGGAAGATGCCTGCGAGTTTTTAGAGTTTTAATCTATGCTTGTTTTAGAGGATGGACATGATTTGTTAACTAGAGGTCTTTTGCAAGCACGATTATGAACTACATGTGTTGATTCCAGAGTTTGTTCTGAGTTTTGAAGGAAAGGACTTGGGTTACACTGATATGTTTATGGTTTGTCTTGGCCTTTTAGGTGTGACGTGCTACTACTTATTTTGTTTGTAATTGTTTTTCCAAGACTTTTCGGTTATTGTTAGTTTTGATTTTATGTTTTTTCCACTCTACAGGCTTAATAATTGCATACTTGTTAGAAATGGTCTTTTTAAATGGCCTCTTTTCTATTTCCATAATTCAGAATAGCCCATACAATGGGGAGTGAAAAGCCTAGGCATGTAGAGAAGATACCAAACTCCAATTTCCCATTACAAAATATGGAAGAAATCAATTTCTGCATTAGCGGTCAAACTGCTCCCAATCATGAGGTTACTGGTGTCAATTTTACTGGTGTTGGAGCTCTTGACATGCCCTCAAATATGCCATTGCAATTTCCTTGTTTTCCTTCAGTGGGTGTGCCACTAACTGGTATTGATTGGATGACTAATGTCTCCCAACTTGACAGTTATAAAGATTTCATGTTCGACTCATATCCTATAAGCAGTGTTGAAAATATCCCAACTGAATATTGTACTCTTGGAGATGTAGCTGCTTCTGATGGCACACAAATGGGCATGTTGGGTGCTGAAGAAAATAGTTTTAGGCCTCAGCTAATGGGAAATTTTGGCATCCATGGAACTAGCAGGCCTGTGTTATGTCATGCTCAATATGGTAATGAAATTAGAAATATCTATAATGCCACAAAGAGTGCAGGTCAATCGGATTATCCTGAAATGCTCGATGGGAGTTTTCTTACTTTAGGAGTTGGAACTAATACTGAGGTCAGATCCTTTGAAAATGACATGTCTCTTGATCCACAACCACAACTAAATGCTTCCTACGAGGAAAACACCTATAAAAGTCACTTCAATGAAGTAGGTGGATTTCCCAGTCTAGCTCAAAATGCAGGTGAAGTTTCTAGTCTAGGACAAATTGATGGACTTGAAAGTTTAATTCAGAATGCTGGTGAGATATCTAGTACAATGCTGAGTGGGGATGAACTTTCTAGTTTAGTGCATGATGTGAGTAGTTCATTGGATCCAGTGCAGACTGTGGGTAGGTTTTCCTTGTCTGAAAAGAGTTTTGGAGTTACTGTTGGTGCTAGCTCAAGTTTAAGTTCAAATCTATTGCACATGCTACAAACCTCACAAATTGATCAAGGTGAACTATTATCAAGTATGCAACAGAATGTTGGACTTAATGGTCCAGTGCAGAATGCAGGTCAGATCTCTAGTATAAAGCCAAATGAGACTGAAGTCCCTAATTTAGTGCACAATGCGAGTAGATCATCAAGTCTGGTCCAGAATGCAGGTAACAGTCTTGGATTTACAGGTGGTGCTAACTCAAGTTTAAACCCAAATCTGTTGCATATGCCACCATCCTTGCAAAATGATCAGCAACACCATTTTCTTAAGCCAATAGATGAGGAATTTGATCTTATGGGGAGTAGGACGTCAAGGGTTGGATATCAGAATCCCAATAAAGGCTTTTATAGTTTTTCTTGTACATCTTCAATACCACATAACAGCAACCAGACCACACTGCCTGGTTCAGGACAGCAGGGTATGGCTGCATGGCTGCCATTATCTTCTTTTATGAGTCAAACTACTAAACAGACCTCTGACCAACTACGAAAGTTTAACATGGGAACAGCACAGGTCTCCCAGTCTCTGGCATCCTTGGTTTCTGCAGTTGGAATCACTGGAAATGCAACCAGTCAAGATCAATCAGGTTAGTGATGAATATTTCCCTCTCTACTTCCATTTATGGAATATTTTTCCTTGGATATTTCTAAATCAGTTTATGTCATTGTCCATTGTTCAGTGGTTTCTCTTCATAATTGGTGATGACTTTTTAGAAAATAACAACTGCTATTAGGATATTTTCTGAAGCTGTTTGCTTCCTGCATATTGAAAAAAGATTTTAGACTCTTTGAAATTCATAGATATATCTTAATTTCCTCTTTCTTTATTTAATAGTGAATGGTTTTTCTTTGTTTAGGTTGCACAGATTGCTTCAAGAATTCATTACATTTGGATTTCTCTGATGTTTTCCTTTTATGTTTTCAAGTTTGACTGTTTGAAATTTGAATATTTTATTTTGCTAAAACTGCTTACATTTTTCTGGTATATAAACTCAAACCATCCTAGTAGTAGTAGTATCATAATTCCAATTTTGCAAAGGAGTTGGTGGAGTACATGCTGGATGTTTTAAGCTTTAATAGAAAATTTGTTGACTGCATGGAATTGGTTGAACTGCATAGTGTATAGCTCTTACAAGTCACAACTACATGATGACCCTGTAATTGTTAAGCAGGGTAGCATTTCATGGTTATCCTTTTAAGTCTTTGAATAATACACAACCACCACCTCATCATTCCTTGAACACTTTCTGAAGATTTGAACTTGAGAGAAGTTGAACACTAAAAATGCCATCCTCTTTCTAGGACTAAGAATGCTTTAATGTCATTAACTTACATGAAGGATTACTAGCAAAATCATTTTTGAATTTAATTCTTCTTGTTGGAATGAGGATCAACTGAAATATATATTTTAAGTTACTAAATTATTAGAATTACATGCACATTTCTCGTGGCTTTTTTTCTGAACTTACTTTGTCCTTAGCTGCAGTTCAAAATCATCCACATTCTCAGTGTACTGTTCAGACTATGAAAGGTGGACCACTTCCAAGGAAGCTAGAGGTCCAATATGTTGGTAAGGTCTAATTGTTTCTTGCTAATCTATTGTCATTGAAGCATAGATACGAATAAAAGGACAATAATGATTAATCTTTCTGTTTTTACTGTGAGTTTATGAAAGATTGTAATGAAATATTTTCCTCACATAATACTCTTTGTCTCACTTATGTTGTAATCCAGGCATTTTTGTGTTAGGGTGATCTTCTATTCTTCTTTGGAAAAGTACCTGTTTTTACTTAATTACAAACCAAGAAATGTTATGTCTAGATTTTGTGTGAAATGTTATCTATTGTACTTCATTACAGTGCGATATCTGTTTAAGATATTTGGCCAACAGTTTTTGCAGGCAAGTGGAGTTTTTTTTTTTTTTTTTTTTTTTTTGGCCAGAGCTGGAGTTGGTTATATTCTTATTTTCATTATGCCACATTTTACTAACCCAATAACCTCTAATCATTGGTAATTTTAATTAATTCTTTTAGGCATTCTTGGCCCTAGTTATCTTTTCACAGCCATAATGCCCTTTGCAACTTGAATGACATTTTGTTTCTTCTTATAATGCCTCTTAAAATTGTCTTGTTTTTCACTGGTTTAAATTTTTCTTGGAATTTCTTCTTTACAATTTTTCTTAAACAATTCAATTAGAAAGTGTATGCTATTGGACATCTTTTTTTTGATTTCTTATCACTAAAATAAATATTTTTTTCTCAAGGCTCCTTAGTTATTTTGCCTGTACTCCATATACATATTAGCCTTTTTCCATGATGCTAGCACTGCTGAAGTTGCTAGTGTTCTGTCTCTTTGATCACCTAATACAGGAAATAGTTCTGCATTCTATATTTTTCTGCACATTCCAAGTATATAATTTATCAGTCTCTTTTCTTTGAGGATTTTTATAAAATCTTAGCTATGTTGGATATTGGTTAAATGTGCTGACCACATAACAAATTTTCCATGGTTAAATCTCAGAATCAAGATAGCAGCTATAAAAATATCTTGTTATCCCTTTGGTAATGCAAAATATTGTTTGTTTTATTATCTTTTACTATTGGGGTTCAACAAAACAAGGCTGATGTAATAATATGACTGATCAATGGAAAAAAAATAGTTACAGTTCTGAGACTTGTTTGTTTTTTGCTAATATTATGTCTAATATTCAATAATTAATGCATAAATAGTCTAGGACCTTAGGTGGCTTCCTCAGCATCAAGTCACAAAGCAAGTAATTGTATATATTGATCAGAATCGTTTGAAATGGGTCTAGATGACTGCTTGCAGGCAACATTTGTCAATCTCAAGCCACTCATCATCTACAGGCTTCGGATAAGCTTCTTATTCATGATTTTACACCTGGTAATTAATATTTAGCTGAATGGTTAAATATAAAATTGTCATTTGTAGAAGTGCAAGAGCCTGTGATTAACTTCTAATGGTTACAGGGCAAGAAATTCCGGTTGAAAGCATAAGCACACCTTATACTTCTAATGATGTTGCTAGAGCATCTATCAAGAGGAAAGTTATCCAACCTCCTTTAGTTGCTCCTCATGTGCAATGCAAGAAGACAGCCCTTGCAGCACCTCTAAGTGCTCCTGTTGATGCACCTTCCCCACCCATGACGCAGACAGCTCATTCTCTCCCTGCTCCTCATGTGCAAAGCAATGAGAAGGGCCGTGCAGCTTTTGCTATTGCTCCTCTTGCCTGGAATGCACCTTCCCTGCCCTTGACTCAGACAGTTCATTCTCTCCCTACTCCTCAAGTGCAATGCAAGAAGAATGCCTATGCAGCTCCTCCTATTGCTCCTCTTGCCAAGAATGCACCTTCTCCACCCGTGACTCAGACAACTCATTCTCTCCGACCATTAATTTGCAAAGTTCCTCCCCCTTCCCCATCGCTAGCCCAGGTTACTCATCCTCTGCAAAGCCGGATTTCTACTCCTCACGTAAAATGGCAAGGTATTTCTTGAGGCTTCTCTATATCATGTGCTGGCATTTTCATTTGCACCTACACCTGTATTGACTTGAGGCTATACACGGCAATTCCAAGCTGAACATTTATAATGTAGACCCAGACATAAAAAGATCGGACTAGGCCAGAAGCAGATATAAAAAGACCCAGAAATGTCAATTCATATTTCAGTTTGGCTTTTTTTGCTGGTGTCAGAGGATCAACTTGGCCACAAAACACAATCACCTTACCCTATGTACCTTAGTTCATATTTTATCCATGTAGCCAAGTTTGATATGAAATATGCCGGTATTTACATGGTTAACATATGGGATTAGTTGGTTTTCTGCTTACAAATTTTCCTTGCTAACACAGATAGAGGCACAATTATTTTGTACAGTATCTGTTTTGACTAACTAGTGATGATGAGGCTCTACTGTAGGCATCTAACAATTAGATTAACTCCTTCAGGTCCAAAAGTTCCCCAACTAAGTGGGTACAATTGTTTGATATGCAAGAGGGATCTTTCATACACACCAGAAGGCCCTGTTTTGGTACCAAGCGTTCCACCCGCTGTAGCTGTTTTGGCATGTGGGCACTGCTTTCATGACCAATGCTTGCAGCGAATCACTCCTGAAGATGAAGTTAAAAATCCTCCTTGCATTCCCTGTGCCCTTGGTGAGAATTAACAAACACATTCTCATTCATTTCCTCAAATCAATCTCCGTTTTTTGATCAAAATGTTGTTACAACATCGGTTAGAACAGTTAGAAGATGAAAGGAGAATATATTTTGGAAGATTAAAAGTTGGTAAATTTGATGGAAATCTTATGTGACACATTTCAGGATGATAGTATATCAGACAAACAATATGCCACAGAATCATCAGAGCATTATGAAATGTATATGTAATATAATAGTGAATACCTCCTGATCTAAAGCATGTTTGTTTTTTTGGATTGGATGGTGGGTTAACTGCATTTAAGCCAACCTAAAGTTGCCATGCTAGTTTATCCATGCTTATTGTTGCTACTTAACCATGTTGAACTAACTAACTTGTAATGACAATGATGATGATGGTATTAATGTTGATGTTGATGATGATGCCTCCAGGTTTTTTTCTTTGTATTATGGTTGAAAATGCAATGAAGTTTCTTAATTTCAACTTAGAAAAGAATTAATACAATCAGGATTACACGAAGAGAGTAGCTGCATGTATCATGTGCCAATAATTCACTTTAGTTATTGTGAACAATAAAACAAGAGTTTGGTTGGTCGGCCAGTTAAATGAGTTTTAATGATACAGAAAACAGATAGAAATTATTAGTCCTAGCATAGTCAATATAATATATTTTCTACTAAAGTTTGTTGGATGAGCAACCGTCGTAACGACAAAAGTTTTGTCTAAATGAAGTCAATTCCTGTAATCCAACGCAAACCTTTTAAACTTTTATAAAAGAATAATCATTATATAAAAGGAAAAAAACACAAGACCTAAACCCCTCGCCGAAATTTGAAATTTTCAACATTTATCTTCATATTTCAATGCATTATTTCTTGTTTTTAGTTTTAAGTATCAAAAATGTAGTACCGTTACATTAAACTAAGCATGCTTAATTAATCAAACAAGTTTTTCATTTTTGTTTTAAGTTTTGAAAAGTT